CCATGCGGACCCTCAGACACCACGACTCCGGATTCAGACGCGAGCAGCCCGCGAGCTCAAAAAGGAGACCGGGTCCGGCTGAAAACGCCTGATGCTGTCATGAGCTCTTCTGCCGATGGGAACCTGTGCGTAAAAGCGGAACGAGACGCGCGTAATGACCACAAAGTAGACACTGACACAGGGTTCTTGGATGTCCGATCACATTTACGCGCGAAGTGGCATCGAGGATAGTGCCGTTTGAATTGAATGAACAATTTCTAAGGAGATCGCTCGTGGAGAGACACCGCGCGCGCTGGAGACTGCGCGCTCACGGCTCGCCAAAAACTCAAGCGAACACTTAAGCGCGAGGATTAATCAGCCGAAAAGATGGATAACGTGCCGTATTTTCTGGCTACATACGTGCTCATTTTCTCCCTCGGATTCAGGATAGAAGAAGGGATGTGCCAACATTACTACCTCCTCCGTCCCATTCCCAGTGACACTCTGCCTTTAGTGGAACTCATAGAGGACCCGGATCCCATACTGGACCCTAAGGAGCGGGATCTGAACGAGACCGAACTCAGAGCCATACTAGGCAGTCACTTCGACCAGAACGTCATGTCCATCAACCCACCAGAGGACAAATACGCAGGACAGGACGACCTGAACGAGTCTGAACTCTTAAAGCGTCCCACAGGCACCATGCCCAAAGAAATCAAAGCCATGGAGTTTGAGATCCAGCATGGGAAAAAACACAAGCCCAGTAAGAAGCTCAGAAGAAGGCTTCAGCTGTGGCTGTGGTCCTATGCCTTCTGCCCAGTGGTGCACACATGGCAGGACCTGGGGAACCGATTCTGGCCCCGCTATGTGAAGGTGGGCAGCTGCTACAATAAAAGGTCTTGTTCGGTTCCAGAAGGGATGGTTTGCAAACCTGCCAAATCCAGCCATTTTATGGTTTTGCGATGGAGGTGTCTGCAGAGAAAGGGTGGGCTCAAATGTGCCTGGATACAAGTTCAGTACCCCATTATATCAGAGTGCAAATGCTCCTGCCCGAACTGAAATAAGCTCCGTGCTCATTCTCACATGCACTGTCCAGTGTAGGAATGTAAACATTCTCTGCTCTGTCTGCTGCCTAAAGTCCATTGGCATGAAAAGAACAACTTGACCTCGCAAAGGAAGGAGGATACTGAATTTCCTCTCTGTATCGATTAAGTTTAAGCTCCTTTTTTGACAAACGTCACATAAATGGCTTTACATCTATGACACACATTACACTGCAACATTTTAAAGAGTCCAAAGAGTGAAATTTTGCTTAGAGTAAATCTCAGTCAGGGTTCATTTATGCAGAAGCTTCAACGTAACAGCTAATACACAGCTTTAAAACCAAAATGAAACTTTCCCTCATGCCAAAAGAATGAATCCTGCTTTTGTTACATAGATTTTGACTTAATCCAGCAGCACATTGTCCAGCATCACTTGGTTTTGCACAGTAAGGAGGGTTTACATGAAGGAACATTACATCTTTATACTTCTCAGCTCACCACAGAATAAAAACACTGTCTGTTCCTCCAGCTTACCAATAAACTAAGATTATGGACCTGTCACTCTTCTTTACTTAACAAGAAATGCTGTGTGCCAATGTCTTTCTTTCTCTCTTCATGAGGCAAATTTTCACACAGTGATCACTGGGCAGCACCATGCATGGTTTTCAACACAGGCTTAATGTACCTCAATCTGCAACGCTCAAACCTAAACACTCATAGATGCTCTGAATGATCCCATTTCATCCTCTCAAGGCATCACATCCCAGGAGATATAACTGGAAACTTCATCTCGCATAGTAACATGCCACCCAAGTTCTGGAGTTCATCCAGTATCACTAACAATCAGGTGTGAGGAACAGTTGCCCCCTTACATGCTGCACCCTTCCCGTGATGAAAGCCAGTCTGGCCACCCAGGCGCTCTCTCTAACCATGACTGAGCGGAAAAACCACCAGTCATTAAATGTTCAGATTGTTTTTTTTGCACAGACACTCCCTTAAAGAGAAAAGCCTCTCATTGGTCTGAACCTTGTGCATGTTTCCTGGCGACTGGACCAAATAGCTGGCGTGCAGAGGATGGAGGAAACCCAAACCAAAGGAACTTGGGGACGTGAGTAGGTCCGTGGGCAACACCAATGGGCTGGAAAATCCTTCCTAAATAAAGAGCGCCAATATCACTCGCAAATATATATACATAATGATTTAATGATTCAGAGTTTAAAGTTCATACAATGTCCACTAAATGTAAGATTGTAGAACATGACCTAAAGCCATGATAAAAAAATATTTAAATAAAAAAATGTAAAAATGATTATGATATTAAAGAATATGACCTGTAAAATAAAGACATTCATAATATTAAATACATACGTTTTGGCTAATTGTCAAGTCTCAAGCACACATATATATATATATTTGTTTTTGTAACCTATGCTGTAGAGATTCATTAGCTTTTTGTTTGTTTTCTATATTAGACATATTTTCATTTCTACTTTTAAAGCTGGACCAAATGAGCCTCCAACTGTGAAAAGATATCTGTAGAATTGAGAAATGATGTTGTTTTCAACTTTGGCAGTGAAATGTGTCACTACAGCCTTGACTTGTCAACGTTTCTCATATTTTATGGGAGGGTGACATTCAAAAACAACATGTGGTAAAACTCTTTATTATAGCTTACATTTACAGTTATGCGAAGGATGTCAGGGAGAGACATGTATCAACATAAGCCTCAGGCTGATGTCTGTCACTACTCTGCTACAAGGAAATTCACTTCATTTTACAATCATTGTTTTTCTCTCTTAAAATCTCAATAGCATTATATTGTAGCCCATTCTCTGTGTGTCTTGGACATCATTAAAACACTGTTGTTAGGCACCTTTGAAAATGGCCAGGTGTTATCGGGATATCTGTGTGTGCTCTTGAGGATGATATCACCGAGAAAAAGGTCAGCGTGATCTCAAGTTCATACCAGAGATCATAGCGATGGGGTCAGGGGGATGATTGCATGTCAGATGTTGGAAGATCAGAGCTATAGTATATTTGCAGACGTGCAGGCTCAAACTGACTTTGAAGTGTAAGAGAGTTGGTACCAGATATGATTAAAGTACGTCTCCTTATTAATGAAAGGGGAACATCAATGCGCAATCATCTGGACCGCAAATTGATCCAAATCCAAAAAGATTAAAATGCATGCAGTTGAATTTTTTTATTGATTTTTATAAAGAGTTGTATTGTTTTTTTTCTTTCTTTTTATTTTTTATTTTATATATATATATATATATATATAATTTTTGTTTTGCAGCCTTGAATTCTGGTTTCCTACTAAAAAAAAAGAATCTAAAAGCTTATCTTGTGCATTTTACCTCAAGGTTGACAGATAGAAATGCCTAAAACCCCTACAGCCTTCAGTTTGAGCTCAAGTTCTCATCATTTCTCCCCCTCCAAAACACTACACAAACATGAGGGATGGCAAATACTTGACTCAACTGAGGTTTAATCAAACAGCAAGCTTCATCTCCCTTTTGTTCCTCCTTGCTTTTTTTCCCCTTAAGACATTGGCAGCGTAGGCCTATACTTTCCCCCCAATCGCCAGGCCAATGTGGGCTCTGTGCCATCGTTTCACCCATCTCTGTCTATATTGTAAAGAACGAGCTTGTTCCCGTAGCAGAGGAAGGATCTCTTCTTCTGTATTCATAACGCTTTGAACAAACATTTTAATCCTTTACTGAAAGACAAATCTCTGTGTACGCAGTTGCCACCCGTATGCTTCGTTCTCAATATTTTCAAGTGTAGATCAGGTTCCTCCGTTTGAAATTTCACAGTGCTGTCGTCATGCTCGGCTGCTGACATTAGATTAGATGAATGTATAGAGGTTTAATTTGTAATGAGGTGGAACAGATCACCTTCAGTCCGCATGGAAACAGTATTTTGTTTGTGTTCAAGCTAATTAACATCATGGAAGCTCATCAAGAGCTCAACAACTGAGCCACCAGGGAAATCTGTGGCAAACTGAACAGCCAAGGCCCAAAATCTCAGCCTTTCGCTGTCCAGATCAATTACTCACATAATTTAGGAGTTGGATTGAGAGGTGTTTTTGATGGCTGCACTGACACGGGCCGAAGTAGGAACTATTTGTCCTGCATTGATTCTCCACGCAAAAGCAGGATCCATCACGTATCGGCCTGTGGCTGTTTGAAGGAGGTTGGAATAGTGTTGAAAGTATTGGCAAAGCTGATCCATAATAAATGCACCCAGCAGACTGTGGTGCCGCTCTCGCGTGCGCCTCTGCACATGAGCATTGCTTTGTGTATGTGTGTGTGTTGGGTGAGACAGCATGTGAGTGCATGTTTCTGTGTCTGTATATGTAATGGAATCAAAGTTTATAATTCCTTTTGAATGATAGCCCCACTATTTATTTCCAAATACAGGCTCAGGACTGAAATGTTATGGATCACAGCCTTTCTTAACATGAGAAGAGGTGTAACAGAAGATGTGAACAGTCGTAAAGAATACTGCCATGAAATGTCTCGGCTGCATTTTCCAAAGTAAACGAGTGGTGTTGTTGATGGATAGAGGCGGCAGGAGAATTGCTAATCCAATTTTCGAAATTAATTAATCTTTTATTCTTTTTCTTGTGTTTCACCGCCAAACAAAACAAACATGTAGCAAATGGTTTATCTACTTGTTTTAGAATCTGTCAGGCTGTCATGTCTGACTCAGGCCTGACCCTTATTCAGTGAACGTACTGACTTTATCCACTAATACATAAATATATTTGTATAATATTAGTATAACCATGAAGAGTTAGTATAATATATTAATGAAAGCATTAAGACAAGGCATGTAGAAGAACTGCACTTGCTCGTGGATTTCATGCCACATATTTCAACCAAAATTTAATCAAACTCTATCAAACCTCTTTTAGCAGCATTCATTTTCTTCTAGATGTATATCTCATCCAGAAGGACACATCAGAATCGCTTTAGATCAGTCGTGATAATTTATTATGAAGTGATCAATGCCATCGTACCATGAGGCATGTAGAAATTTCTAGCATCCTCTGTCTGTCTGCCAAGCACGACGCGCCCCCCAGTGGTCTATATAAGAACCCGGATTAATTAAGTAAATACATAGACAGGTCGGACACCGCACAACTGTGCAATTTTTGTATCTAGCTAGTATGAATCGCTAAAAATGTATAACTTTCTAAAATTTTGAAACACAGGTATTTGTCTGAGAGGCTATTCAGCACCCTTCACATCACATCCACAATAGATGGGTTAATTAGCCTATATTATATTTGTTTTAATATAGTGAAGAAGAAAAATGCAACACCACCATGTTAACAAGAAAGTATGCACTTTGTTGACACTCAATTTCCATAAAGACCGATTAAGTCAGCCTGGAACACTGAATTGAGCCTATAGGGACATCATAGTAGCCTATTTGTCTTCATCCCATATTGCTGTAATTTATTTGACAAAATTCTTTTCAAATTGTTGATACGTATGTCTTCCGCGTTTAAGCCGGAAGAGAAAAGACATTTGCCGCCAAAACGCCCCTTGCGGCATCGATTAAAAATCACAAGTAGGCCTACTCAATACAAAAGTTACACAATTACAAAAGTATTAGTGCAGTGTAGACATATAAACAGTCAATATATACACATGTGAGCATACAGTATATATACACATTATAAAGTGTTATATATAATATATACAAAAACAACGTAGAATGAATGTGGCCTAGTTATGTTTAATAGCAAGTCATAGAAACGGATTGCTTGGTCTACTATCAGCTCTCCTTCATGACCAGGTAAGTCAGTACACTCTAAAAAACACTGGGTTAAAAACAACCCAATTTGGGTAGTTTTTAACCCTAGGGCTGGGTAAATATTGGACAGAACACATGTTGGGTTAATTTTACCCAGCAAATTGGGTTGTTTACTTAACCCAGCTAATGGGTTGATTCATTTTTACTGTAATACTAGCTTATTTTTTACTTCAGATATTAAGTAAT